GAACCGTTCTACGACAGAGGAAACCATTCTACGATGGTGGAACCATTCTACGACTGCAGAAATATTCTACGACAGCGGAACCGTTCTACGACAGAGGGAACCATTCTACGACAGAGGGAACCATTCTACGACAGAGACCATTCTACGATGGCGAAAATATTCTACGACAGCGGAAATATTGTACGACTGCGAAAATATTTGACGACGGCACAACCATTCTACGACTGCGGAACCATTCTACGACTGCGAAAATATTCTACGACGGTGGAAATATTCTACAACGGTGGAACCGTTATACAATTGTGGAAATATTCCATGACGACACAACCATTCTACAACTGCAGAACCATTTTACAAAGGCATAATTATTCTACGACTGCGAAACCGTTCTATAAGCTTCAAACAGGAAGACCAATCAGTCACCTGTTAGCTGTGTTAGCTGTGTTAGCTGTAGAGCTAACAACTGTGCTAATCTGTGCTCCATTAAAAGTCCATTTTAGAAAATTTAAATCTTTTATTTTGAAAAATATATATATATATATATTATAAATAGAACAGACAAACTTTAAATGTCCATAGTTTTTTATAAACTTCCTTCGTTTGTTTGTTTGTTTTTGTTTACCTCAGAGTCAGGGTGTAGTCTCCGTGCATCTTCGTCGACGCGTCTCGCACCAGGAACGTTCCATCGGCCGTGTCTCTCAGCTTGTCATTCACCTCCTCTCTGTTAAACACACACACGTCTGAGCCATAATAAACCGCCACTGTTAATATCAGGTCAATGTGTCAAACAGACGGACCGCGGGCCAAATACGGCCCACTCGACGAATTGCGAAAATTTCATTTTCAGGACATGTTTTGTAAAAATTATACTTCCTTAAATATGATGATTTTTCGTACGTACTTTCTTTGGCTTGAAAACGATAAGGAATTCACTTCTTTTTTCTTTGCGATATTTAGCAATAGCAAAAATTTCGCCAAGATTGGATTCAAAAATTTAAAAAAAAAATCTGCGATGTACTAAGGGAGCGAAAGGTGAACCGTGATATAGCCTTGAGCTTTAACCCCTCTCCACCACTCGTCCCCCCCCGTCCCTCCTCCGTCCTACCTGGAGATGTCGCCCCAGTACCACTCGGCGTCCTGCAGAGCGATGCTGTTGTTGAAGCTGCTGGCAGCTGCCGGAGTTGATGACTTCACTGGTTTGGGAGGCAACGCTGGACGGCGGGAAAGAAAAGAGTCGATAAACAACGATAAGACAAGAAACCAGAAATACACGACATATTTCTGCGGTCGTTATCTGATCGCTAACTCAATCAAAAAATGTTATTTAAGTTATAACAATAAATTATGAAATTGTTTGTGGAACTTTTTTATATTTAATTTGTAATTTTGACCAGTATGCAGTATTTTTGTTAGGATTTTTATTTAAAATTTTCATGACCACGGTGACGTTAGCTAACCAAATGAAATAAAAAACAAATTGAAAAATTTAATTTAATTTAATTTTTTAAAATGTAATAAAAATGTAATAAAATTAAAGACTGTTGATTTAATAGGTTTAAAAATTGCAGAAAAAAATAAAAAATAATAAAATTCAGATTTCACTGAATTTAATTTTATTAAATTAATAAAAATTGAATAAAATTAAATTCAGTGAAATCTGAATTTTTTTAAAAGATTTCTGCAAATAAAAAAAATTCAGATTTCACTGAATTTAATTTTATTAAATTAATAAAAATTTAATAAAATAAAATTCAGTGAAATCTGAATTTTTTTATTCTTTTCTGCAATTTTTAAACCTGAATTAACAACAGTCTCTATCTGTGTGTACGATTGTCATCATATTTACACATCAATCACAAGAAACTGGTATTTAATTAAATAAACCAAAAAAATAATAAAATAAAATAAAATAATTTTCTCCATTCTACAAATCGATATTTCAGAAAACTATGCATAAAACATTCTGTTCCAGGGAGAGGGTCACATGACGTCGTTTACGCAAAGACCAGATTTATTTAATAAAAAAAATAAAAAATAAATAAATACATATTATGTCAGAGCCACTTCCTTTAGAAACTCAAAAAAAATCTCACACCAAGACAGACTGATTCCTACTCTAGAGTTAAACTCCATTTCAATCACCGCGGCAACGACGGCCATCTTATTTCCTGCTCCCCAGCCACAGGTGTCATGCCCTCTAACGGCCCCCAGGATCAACCCCAGGCTCGGGGGCTCCTACCTGGACTCTGCATGTTAATGTAGCATAGGATCTTCTCCCGTCCTCTCACGGGCTCGTCACAATCCATGTCGTCCCCCGTCCCCACGCGTTCCCCTAAACTCCCTCTAAACCTTCGGCGATGCCGCAGCGTTTCTGCGGACGGAACGAAACCTGCGACCTCCCCGTCTGGCTCTCATCGCCTTCATCCAGCGGTCCAAGCGATCGCGTCTCCCGTCCGCTGACGTCATTTTGGAGGAAACGGTTCCGGGTCACTCTTTTTTGTCTCCATGTCTTCTCGAGTCTCCCAGTTATTCCTCCTCCTCCTACTCGCTGCCCCTACGATCCGTCCCCAAATGTTCGCCCCCCCGCCTCCTCAACTAGGGCCAAGCCAACACGGATTATATTTATCTGACAGAAGCGGCGAGCAGACATTTGAAGCGACGCAACTTTCTCTCCTTCTGCTCTCTTTCTCTTTCTCTCTCTCTCTCTCAGCTTCAGTTCAGAGCTCAGGAGAGGAGCTTGGAGATGTATGACATCACCATTGCCCTTAGCCAATCCAGTGATGGCAGTGATGTCACTGAGCAACACAGCCCCCTCCTCGCCCCTCCTCCTCCTCCTCACCTTCCTCCTCCTCCTCCTTTTCTCTCCTCTCCTCTCCCTCTGCTGCAGCTCACACTCTCAGGATGGATGATGTCATCGTTTTAGTCGCCTCTAGGTCTGACCGTCGGACGGATCGATGCGCTCAATCCGACAACGACTGGGCGTTCCTCGGAGAGGAATCGGACTGATCGCCGCAGACCCCGCTGGTCGCAGCCGAGTTCACAAACACTACAGACGTATTTTACCACCGCAGACCACTAGGGGGCACCTCGGTTCGGAGTCACATTTGAGCAGACAGAGGTCAAAGGTCAGATCGTCTTCATACGGGTCTGATCAGCATAAGGAGCGACGCTTACGTTACCAAATACAACCAGCTGGCAGGCAGCTGTAAATCAGTGGTAATCAACTGGCGGCTCGTGGGCCGAGTACAGCCCACCTTACTGGCCCAATAAATCGCCATCCGACCCAATAAGGGGCCTCTCTCTCTTATTTTTGACTCCAGTACCAGGAGCGTAAACTGAATGAAAACAACTCTACAAAAGTGATGATGAACCGGAGGCCCGCGGGCCACATCTGGCACACCAAACGGCCCCAATTCTGCCCACGACTGGATACCAAAAATTATAATTGAATATAATAACGCTAGACAAAAATGTGATATTTGAGTGTCTAATGATAGATTAGAACCGCCAGTGGACAGTGGAGGTACTGCACAGGGGTCATTACATTTTTAGTTGACTTTTTCAACTCCTTAACATTGAACAGTTGTGTCGTCAAGATAACATGAATTTTGTCTGTTGTTCACAACTTCCTGTTCACTGCCTTCTATTTCCAAGTACTTTCCTATTTTTTTTTTTGTTTTTTGTGTTGGTGTTTATCTCCCTGCTCTCGTTTAAAGGCAGGATGTGACCGATATCTGTGCAGTGCGACGGTGACGCACGTTTCCAGTGTAATGATGTGGCAGAGGAACTGGAAACGTCCTGCTGATGAGTGAGGACGCCAAGTGTCCAGAGATAAACAACTTGTGGTTTTTATAAAAAAAAGAAGTTTTTTTTTTCTAGCCTGTGGTTTCTAACATCAGATTGATTTCAACATTTTAGAGAAATGTTTACTTAGCACCACCAAGTGGACATAAAGGTGAACTGCATGCTCATTGTTAATGGACACAAAAACTTGACCTCTCACTTTTAAAGTGTGTGTTACCTGGTGCAGCCTGATTCATGTTGAGTTCACTGGTTATCAGAATCTCCAAAACCTGAACCAGAGGATCCAAACCACATTCAGACCTGGACAAAGAAACAACCAGAGTCGTCAACGTCGCACACAAATATCTGACATATTCATACATATATATATATACATATACATATATACATACATATACATACATATATACGTATCTGTATGTATATATACAGTATGTATATATGTATTTATACATATACATAAATACATATATACAGTATATACATATACATATGTATATATACATATATACATTTACACATATACATAAACATACATATATACATATACATATATACATACGTGTACGTATATAGGTATGTATATATGTATGTATATATGTATGTACGTATTTATACATATACATACATACACATATATACACATGTACGTATACATACTGTATATACAGTACATACATATATACACAGCACATACATATATACATACATATACATATATACATACATATACATACATATATACGTATATGTATATATATCTATGTAGGTATGTATATGTACAAATACATACTGTATATGTATATATACATATATACATTTACACATATATACATAAACATACATACATACATACATATATACAAACATATATACATTTATACATATATACATGCATATATACACATATATACATATACATATATACATATACATTAGACATATACATACATATATACGTATACGTATGTAGGTATGTATATATTTACGTATATGTATGTATGTATTTATACATATACATACTGTACGTACATATACATACACATATACATATATACATACATACATATATACGTACATACATACATACATATACACATGTATCTGTACACACACAGTGTATATACACATTATATATATATATATATATATATATATATTTATGTTGGTGTACAGATACGTGCGTGCGTGTATACAGAGGTTTCTTCTACTGACCCTGCCATCTGTCTGAAGACTAACGGACTAAAGCTCTCGGCCAGGTTCCGGGGGGTCAGCTGGTTCCTGGAGCTGTGTAAACAGATCCGGGCGAAGTGTCGGACCACGCTGAGCAGAGTCAGGCCGTACTGGGCCTGGCAGACCGGAGAGCTGGCTACTCCCCGCAGGACCTGAGCACACTCCTCCAAATCCCTGACCTCTGTGGAAGAGTTAAAAAAAAAAAAGAAGATTTTCAGACCAGAAAGGTTTAACAAAAAAGATGCGACTCAAGGGTCGGGTCGGACTTCTGCTGACCTTGTACTTGGTGAATCATGTCGGCCTGTAATGAAGACGGGAGGACGGGACCAGGGAGGTCCAGCAGGAAGCGGACCACGCCGTCACACAGGGACGACACCTCCAACTGGTCCAGGTCTGAAAATGACAGGATTGCGTATTGGCAAGAATCCGACGATAAGTTACGTATCCCGATACGTATCCCGATACGTATTACAATTCGATACGTATCCCGATACGTATCACGGTGCGATACTTATCACTATACGACACGTATCACGATATGCACCACAATACGATACTTATTACGATACGCATCACAATTCGATACATATCGCAATGCGTATCATAATATGATACGTATCACGAAACGATTCGTATCACGATATAATATCACGATATAATACGTATCACGATACAGGACCAATTATACAATATATTGCCATACTATCATTAAAAAGATATATTGAGTTTGTTTAAATAATTTAGTTGTGGGAAAACTGTCAGCATAGTAAAAAAAAACAATTCAGTAGAATATCGAAACGGTATTGTGAGAAAAAAAATCCCAATATTTGCAGTATTGATATTTTCTTCGGAAAAAAACCCATCAAAGTTCAAGAGTTTAAGGTTCTAAAAGTGTTCAGTCATCGTGTCAGAGTCATTTTTTTTCCCGATTTATTCACAGATAACCTGCAGCTCTAAAATAGTTTTCCTGTCTTTTTCACAGCTACATCATTACACTGACAAAGATTCACGATCCGGACACCTCATCATCTCACGACTACTGATTTACAACAAATCAAAACCTCTGCTCACCAGCTTCAGCCAACTGCCGGGTGTCCGGGCCTCCTCCGCTCACATTGCGATAAATGGTGGGACAGTCCAGACCTGCGGCGTCAGAGGGAACATGTCAACTTCAAGGTCTGTTTTATTTTTATCTTCAAGTGCTTTAAAATGCTTTTTGAATCCCTGAGCTAAGCTAAGCTAAGCTAAGCTAAGCTAAGATCAGACCAAACGTCCATCTACTGCAGGTCCTCCCAATCCATCTAACCCTCCCCTGCCCTCCCGCCACCACCACCGTAAATTGCCTACATGTACCATATTCATGACGATACGATAGTTTCGTACCTTTGGTCTCTATGGCCTCCATCAATCTGTTAAGGAGGGGAGGGGCGGTGTCCGGGGGTCCGAACTGATCTGGGAGGTCCGCAAGCACAAACCCTGGGAAGAGAAACAGCAGAAGAAAAGTTGTTTAAAAGTCTGGGTGTAAGAAAACATCGCCACACTGAAATATCACAATATTTCAATTCACGATTTCACGATGTAGAGCCCTCTGTTCCGATGTTAGTAACCTGATGTTCAGATGGAACAGCAGCAGAGTCTGATACTAGGATCACACTGGGACTACAGCTACACTGGGGGGAGGGGACCTCAATATACCATCTTGTCTTAGTATCGCAATATATCACAATATATATGTACCGTGATACGTATCGTATTGTGATGCGTATCGTATTGAAATAGGCATCGAATCGTGATACGTATTGTTTTGTGACATGTATCGTTTTGTGACACGTATCGTATTGTGACACGTATCGCTTCGTGATATGTATCGTTTCGTGACACATATCGTATTGTGACACATATTGTGATACGTATCGTATTATAATAGGCATTGTATTTTGACATGTATCGTGATACGTTTCGTATTATGACACGTATCGTGATACGTTTCGTATTATGACACGTATCGTGATACATATCGTATTGTGACACGTATTGTGACACGTATCGTACTGTGATATGTATTGTGTTATGTATCGTGATATGTATTGTGATACAAATCGTTTTGTGACACGTATTGTGATACGTATCGTGATACGCATTGACAGAATACATCCGATACACAGCCCCAATCTTAACGTACGGTTTGAATGACACCATTTCCACATTAGTCTGTAGAGACTGAACGTTTCGCAAGATGCGTCCGTCACTGAGACGCCCATCTCCCGAGGAGAGACGCGTCTCTCTTATCTCTGACATCACGGCATGGCCCTAAACGAAAGCAGACACATCGACAGTCGCCGACACGTCGACAGTCGCCCAGACCACGGCTTAAAAAAAAAAAAAAAAAAAACAACTACAAGAACCAGCAGCTGCGGAGAGGGAGAAGGTTTTAATATAAAAAAACGCAGCAGGAAGCTGGGGCAACGCTAGAGAAGAAAGGAAACATCAACAGCTGCAACACACACACACGCACACTCACTCACACACACTCACTTCCTGTGCTCTCTGGTACGACCAGTGGTACCAGCCAGAGATGTGAGCTGTTTAGTCAGCAACCACAACACTGCTGGCTGGGTGTGTGTGTGTGTGAAGGCTCATAGTGTTTAATCTATACATGCTGTTCCGATTTTTTTCCTGTGATGTGTTTAAAGTTCCACTACTTCTTAACTCAACACCTGTGTGTGTTGTGCTAAACCAGTGGTTCCCAAACTTTTTTTTTTTAAAGTCACAAAATTCACGACCCAAGTCAATGGACATTATTCGTAAACTCCTGGGAAACATGATGATGCGAGACGACCCCAAAAAAAAAAAAAAAAAATTAATAATCTTGCGACCCACCTGAGGGTCGCGACCCAGTCTTTGGGAAACAATGGGCTAAAGTGAATATATAGATATGATACACAAGGTCAGTCAAACAAAGTTCAGTGGACAAAGATCCATATTTGAGGATCGATGTGGTGTGTATTCCCGCCGGTCACCAGGAAGATCAGGGTCCAATTCCACGACAGGGACATAATGTTGCGACAGATCCAAGAATTTCCCAAATTATGTTCAAATTACATTTTTGTCAATTAGTCAAATGTCAAAAGTCAACTTTATTGTCAAATAGAATTCTGGAGGATGACCTTTGACACCAGGTCACTACCTGATTGAATGGTTTAAGTTTGGCTGAAATAAAAAAGTGACGTTCGCTCTGTTTTTGTGTAATTTCTTTTTTTATTTTTTATTTTAAAGGGACTTAATTCAGAATCAGCCGTGTTCAAATCTCAAAATCTTGTGTTTCAACCGAGCAATATATTAACATATATCCCCACCTAAAATAGAGAATGTCCCTGTCAGGGAGGAAGGCTGCATAAATAAATGAATAAAATCAGTGTCCTCACAAGAATAGATAGACACTTCTGAGTGTGTGTGTGGTTCATTTAACTCGTGACCAGAAAGGAGCCGTAGAACATTAAACTGCGTGACTCATCACATCACACAGTTGTGGGCTAAAATCTGTTCATTTCCAGCAACATCACGTTGGAAACTTCTGCTTTTTTTTGACATTGACGGAGAAATGGTCACCATGACAACGGGTTTTACTAAATCAGCGGTAATACATCTCAGTCTCACTAGAATAACAATGTTGTGTTTTGCCATTCGTCGTTTCTAAACAGGTGACCTTTGCCCTAGTTTCTCCGATGATAGTAGGTATTCCTTGAATTAGCTCGATTAGCTTCTTTTACCCTCTCCTTGAATCGCAACCTTAACGTGGTGGAGGGGTTTGAGTATCCGAATGAACCTAGGAGCTATGTTGTCGGGGGCTTAACGCCCCTGGTAGGGTCTCCCAAGGCAAACAGGTCCTAGGCGACGGATCAGACAAATAGCGGTTCAACCCCCCCTTTGTGATGAAGAAAAATACAGCTAAGAGGTTCACGTCGCCCGGATTGGCGTCACCGGGGCCCCACTCTGGAGCCAGGCCCGGGGTTGGGGCTCGCAGGCGAGCGCCTGGTGGCCGGGTCCTTGCTCACGGGACTCGGCCGGGCTCAGCCCGAACAAGCGACGTGAGTCCGCTTTCCAGTGGGCCCACCACCCGCAGGAAGGCCCACAAGGGGCCGGTGCCTTGTGATTTGGGTGGCGGTTGTGGGCGGAGACCACGACGGCCCAATCCCTGGACAACCACTCTAGCTATGGGGACATGGAATGTCACCTCGCTGGGGGGAAAGGAGCCTGAGCTCGTGCAGGAGGTTGAGAGATACCGACTAGATATAGTCGGGCTCACCTCCACACACAGCTTGGACTCTGGGACCCAACTCCTTGAGAGAGGCTGGACCCTTTTCTACTCTGGAGTTGCCCGCGGTGAGAGACGGCGTGCTGGCGTAGGCTTACTTATAGCCCCCCAGCTTGCCAGTCGTGTGTTGGAGTTCTCCCCACTGAGTGAGAGGGTCGCTTCCCTGCGCCTTCGGGTCAGGGACAGGTGCCTCACTGTAGTTTCGGCCTACGGGCCGAACAGCAGTGCAGAATCCCCGGCCTTCTTGCTGACACTGAGAGGAGTACTGGACAGTGCTCCTCCCGGGGATTCCATCGTCCTGTTGGGGGACTTCAACGCCCACGTGGGCAACGACAGTGACACCTGGAGGGGCGTGATTGGGAAGAACGGCCTCCCCGATCTAAATCCGAGTGGTGTTTTGTTATTGGACTTCTGTGCTAGTCACAGTTTGTCCATAACAAACACCATGTTCAAGCATAAAGGTGTCCACCAGTGCACTTGGCACCAGGACACCCTAGGCCGGAGGTCAATGATCGACTTTGTAGTCGTGTCATCTGACATCCGGCCGTATGTATTGGACACTCGGGTGAAGAGAGGGGCTGAGCTCTCAACTGATCACCACCTGGTGGTGAGTTGGCTCCGCTTACGAGGGGCAAAGCTGGATAGACCTGGCAGACCCAAACGTATCGTGAGGGTCTGTTGGGAACGTCTGGCAGAATCCCCGGTGAGGGGGGCCTTCAACTCCCACCTCCGGGAGAGTTTTGAACAGGTCCCGAGGGAGGCTGGAGACATTGAGTCTGAGTGGACTATGTTCTCCACTTCCATTGTTGATGCGGCTGTCCGAAGCTGCGGACGTAAGGTCTCCGGTGCCTGTCGTGGCGGCAATCCCCGACCCCGGTGGTGGACACCGGAAGTAAGGGAAGTAGTCAAACTCAAGAAGGAGTCCTATCGAGCCTGGTTGGTTCGTAGGACTCCTGAAGCAGCCGAAAAGTACAGGCAGGCCAAGCGGACTGCAGCTCGGGCAGTCGCGGAAGCAAAAACTCGAGTCTGGGAAAAGTTCGGGGAGGCCATGGAGGAGGACTATCGGTCGGCCTCGAAGAAATTCTGGCAAACCATCCGGCGCCTCAGGAAAGGGAAGCAGTTTCCCACCACGGCTGTTTACAGCAGGGGGGGGAGCTGCTGCCCTCGACTGAGGAGGTCGTCGGGAGGTGGAAGGAATGTTTCGAGGAGCTCCTCAATCCCGTTGACACGTCTTCCGAGGGGGGAGCTGAAGCTGAGGACTCAGCAGCTGATCCTCCAATCTCCTGCGCTGAGGTCACCGAGGCAGTCAAAAAGCTGCTCGGTGGAAAGGCGCCGGGGGTGGATGAGATACGCCCTGAGTATCTTAAGTCTCTGGATGTTGTGGGGTTGTCTTGGCTGACACGCCTCTACAGCATCGCGTGGCAGTCGGGGACAGTACCTCTGGACTGGCAGACCGGGGGGGTGGTACCTCTTTTCAAAAAAGGGGACCGGAGGGTGTGTTCCAACTATCGGGGGATCACACTCCTCAGCCTCCCGGGAAAAGTCTATTCCAGAGTACTGGAGAGGAAAATCCGGCCGATAGTCGAACCTCGGATTCAAGAGGAACAATGCGGTTTTCGTCCTGGTCGTGGAACACTGGACCAGCTCTATACCCTTCAGAGGGTGCTTGAGGGTTCATGGGAGTTTGCCCAACCGGTCCACATGTGTTTTGTGGACTTGGAAAAGGCTTTCGATCGTGTCCCTCGTGGTATCCTGTGGGGGGTGCTTCGAGAGTATGGGGTTGGGGGCCCTCTTTTAAGGGCTGTCCAGTCCCTGTACGATCGGAGTAGGAGCTTGGTTCGCATTGCCGGCAGTAAGTCGGACCTGTTCCCGGTGCATGTGGGACTACGGCAGGGCTGCCCTTTGTCACCGGTTCTGTTCATTATTTTCATGGACAGAATTTCTAGGCGCAGCCAGGTGTCGGGTGGGGTCCAGTTCGGTAGCCACCGGATTTCATCTCTGCTTTTTGCAGATGATGTGGTGTTGTTGGCTTCTTCGAACCAGGACCTGCAGCATGCACTGGGGCGGTTTGCAGTAGAGTGTAACGCAGCTGGGATGAAAATTAGCACCTCTAAGTCCGAGGCCATGGTTCTCGACCGGAAAAAGGTGGTATGCACCCTTCGGGTCGGGGATGAAGTCCTGCCTCAGGTGGAGGAGTTCAAATATCTGGGGGTCTTGTTCACGAGTGACGGTAGAATCGAGCGTGAGATTGACAGGCGGATCGGTGCTGCGGCCGCAGTAATGCGGTCGCTGTATCGGTCCGTTGTGGTGAAGAAGGAGCTGAGCCGAAAAGCGAAGCTCTCAATTTACCGGTCAATCTACGTTCCTACCCTCACCTATGGTCATGAGTTGTGGGTCATGACCGAAAGAACGAGATCAAGGTTTCAAGCGGCTGAAATGAGCTTTCTCCGCAGGGTGGCAGAGCGCTCCCTTAGAGATAGGGTGAGGAGCTCTGTCACGCGGGAGGAGCTCGAAGTAGAGCCGCTGCTCCTCCACATCGAGAGGAGTCAGCTGAGGTGGCTTGGGCATTTACATCGCATGCCCCCCGGACGCCTCCCTCGGGAGATGCTCGGGTGCCGTCCCTCTGGGAAGAGACCCAGGGGAAGACCTAGGACACGCTGGAGCGACTACGTCGCTCGGCTGGCCTGGGAACGCCTTGGGGTCCCCCCAGAAGAGCTAGAGGAAGAGTCGAGGGAGAGGGAAGTCTGGGTGTCCCTGCTCAGACTGTTGCCCCCGCGACCCGGCCCCGGATAAGCGGTTGAAGATGGATGGATGGATGGATGGAGCTTCTTTTACACAAAAAAAAAATCTCCCGATACCTTGACAAGATGCAAATTCAAACTCACCATCAGATTCCGAGTCGGTCCTCGCCGACGCTGCTGACGGTGGTCTGGGTGGGCGTGGCTTGGGCGTGGGTGGAGACATTCTCTTTCGGCCGACAAACTCCACATACGTCCCCGGGAAGTCGCCTTTTTCCTGGAGGGACAGAAAAGTTGTCGTATTATATTACGATGTGGTTAATTTAGCAGTTAGCTTACGCAGCTACCTGTAGGGGTCTAAGAAAATATTGATAAACTATTATCAATAAATATTGCGATATTCAGTTTCACGATATCGTATCGATATTCTCCATGTATCTTTGTGTATTGATTTTTCTATTACCAAATCATCAATATAGCGTTGACGCTCAAGTATCGTGATACGAATCGTATCGCTAGATTCTTACTACTAGCTAACAATAAGTTCCTATTCCGATAAGTACGACATACGTGGTCGACCGAAAAAAAACAAATGTTCAAATTGTCGGACCCACCTGGGTGGTCTCGTTGAAGCCGGGCAGCCATCCGATCTCCGACGGTCGTTCCTCAGCTCCGTTGCCGCAGCCCAGAGCTAGCAGCGCTCCCTTACTGACCAGCAACATGTCCCCCACGTGCAGGTCGATGTCCTCCTCCCTCTCCTTCTTGTAGTCGTACAGCGCTCGGTACTGAAAGCCCTCGGAACTCATCCTGACTTCTCGGGACGTATGGCTTCGCGACTTGAGTTTTTTTTTTTTTTTTTTTTTTTTTTTTACAAAAATAGGTTCTACTTCCAATCCTGAGATGATCTAATGTGGACTATCTGCGGTCGGTAAAAATGGCTTCTTCTGCTGTTTGTGAGTCTCCCCAGTCTCCATGTTGGCTAGTGTCCTGTCATCCGTCCAGGCTCAGCCACAGCCACTCAGTCAGAGTATCTCTGCCGTTCATGAACAGGAGTCGGAGCAGGGGGAGC